GTTTATTTATTGGCAGATAATTTTCTATCTCTATCGATTGGAATTTTTTATGTTCAAATCTTTATATGTCAGAAAATAAGAAAAAACTTTTTTTTGCCACTTATATCGTCATTGCACCTGTTGCAATGAGGCCCTAAATTTTACCCCCTCCATCCACTCCACCAGGTGATTCGGGGTTCTCGGGGTTTGGGGAAATTAATTTGGTAAGCACAATTGTTATCAAAATGGTCATTATCCTCGATATAAATATAAAATGGTGGTCTTCAGAAACGCCTACGAAATGAGTACAAATCAGAAACGCCTACGAAATGAGGACACAAATGCTAAACACGTTGAAGACCAAAATAGACACCAATCAAACCAACTTTAGCAATCTACCTAAACGGTGCAAAAATGTGATCATTTGAATACATTTTTAGGCAAAACACGACACGACGTTAGCGTAGTAATTGCCTGAATTCATTTGTATTTCACAATACGCAAAAATGCGACAGAAATTATATTCACACCTCATTTCCATAGTTCAAGGAACACTACGACGCGACGCAGTGACAACGAGAATGCATGATTACCCAAATACATGTGTATAAACATCATTTAGAATATTTGATGAATATCAAATTACACGCATTATGGATCCTAGGCTATTACGAATAAGGACGTAGGTAAATTAGTCAATGCTGCGTCTACGTCTTGGTCGATTTAGTTAGTAAAAGCTTTTGAGTTTTTTATACTTATGTTTACCTAAACACAAAATATTGAACAAATATTTTTTCTGTACACCTAGTTCATTGTAATCTCAATTATCTTACTTAATATTACAAACGCGATTTCTTATGTACCTAAGAAGGGATGTTTGTTAAGATTCCACGTAAAAACTCGAACGGATCCGGATTAAATTTGGCTTAAACCTAAATTATATTCTGGTATAAGACAAGGGCTATAATTAGGAACGGTGTTTATTTTCTTTCCCACATAAATAGTTCTTCTATTAGTAAGTGTTCTTCGATATTTGACAAGGATGTAAACTGTCATTAATAAACTTGGTAATAACAGGCAATTTTGAGGTGGAACTGAGTTGGAGTGTCTTTAAATATTTACTTTAAAACTTAAATCAATAGTTGAGCGTATTGTACGTATAGATTAGATATCAAATCCTTTGTGTTATCAGAAATAATTTCAATGACGTCATATCTACATATGTACTTCCCATATTAAGAAAAATATAATGATAGACAGGTAATGTTAAGTTTTATTTTCTTTGCAACGACCTAATGGAATGCGGAACAATTCGAATACTAGGTCTACTTGATAACCATTAAGGGCGGAACACTCCTTATAAATTATCATTAGTACAATGTATTATGTAGAGAAAAATGATTGTTTACTTTTAATTACGCATAGATACGTAAACAATGATATGTATCCCTTAAAGTGTGAATTCCAAATTAATTTTTGAATTAGAAACTGTATGTGCTATTTTTAATAAAAACCCGTTCCCATTATTTATTAATGGTTCAATGAAGACGATAATCATCATATTGCAGATATTGCTTCAAAATCTTTGTCTGTAACCAACCATCATGACACTAACAAAGACTATAATTTCTAAATAGCTTTAAGAGATAGGTAAAACGTTTTATTAAATGAAATACCACATAGCACGACGGTATTCGATGCTTAGGCTCATTTTCCGATTGAACCCTTCGGCAGCGATCGCGGATCGGTAAGCGGCGATGGTGCGATAGCCGATCGAATAAGCCGACGGGATCGAGGCCGGCAATTTGCGTGGCACCACGCCGCCAGTAAATCAAATTAAACGCCACCTACCACTCGATACGATACTTGTTATCCGATATAAGCAGATTTAGGGTTGACTAACAGATGGTGTTAAAAATTACGCATTATTTTTTTTATAAGTTGATTTCCTTTGTTTTCGTCTGTAAGTGTACAAACAATTATAAAAATAGATTGTGACGTGATTAACAATAGCCATAGGTTATATCGTAAGTGTTTCTTTCCGATATAAAAACAATTACCTAAATTCTCCCGCTCCGGGTGGGTCGAGAGTGAGTGGTCATTCTCCTCATCCAAGCCGCGCTGCGTTATTGGACCTCAATTTTTTGGGGTTAAGCCCCAAAAAATTGAGGTTAAATTATTAAGTGTGTAAACAATACTATTGCAGTGCGTTTAATTTCTAATCAAATTAAAATGGAGTACTAAATTCAAGTTGAAAATGTCAAAAACAAAATTGTGTTCATAATTATATTATTCCGCAGATCAAACAATCATATATAGCATCCGTTGCTTGATCATTATCAACTTTAGCCTTTCCAACAGGTGGCTCAAGGATGTAGCCAATTTAAACTCAGCCAGATCCACAATTCTAGACTTTAAAAGATCTTGTTTGATGATAAAATTAACATTTCTATTAGTTTGGCTAGAATACCAACACAATGACATCATGATTAATGTTATAAAGTATTATTATATTAACATTTAAATGTTACCGTAACATTTGTTACATAAAAATGTATTAACATGAAATAAACAAAATCATGTCGAAACTAAATCTGATTAATGAGCTAGACGACGGGATGGCCTTTGTAAAACACTGGTTTAGAATAAATAAAAAAAAACTAAATAAATAATGTCTCTATATAGAAGATGGCAAAGCAGAAGATCACAACAATCAAGTTTCCATTATCCTACATTTTCCGAAACTCAACAAACAAAGGATAGAATAAAGATCAAATTTCTACAAACGGTTGCCAACCCTATAAAACAGCGATGTATTGTGAAAGTAGACCGAGGGTGCAGGTGGCTGGAGGCGTGGCCGCGCCTCATCTGTCTAAACAACACCTTCCAATCACTACCCGGCCATCTCCAGGTGATAATGTTAACGTTCTAGCTTGTGATGTAATAGTACTACATAAGTATACCTACAACGAGAAAGAAAGCGTTAATAGACGTGTACTAGATGTCAATTGCGATTTCAATGCTACCGTAGAAAAACCTTTATTCAAATTAGAGGTTTATGATCCAAATATAACGGTTCCATCAATGATATGTACATTGTCTCCTTAATGTAACATCAATGTTTTCATAACTTTGACTTGTCGATATAATATTGTAAGACCAAACAGGCCAGGCTACAAATTAAATATAAATAATGACCGATGGAAACATGATCAACATAATAGAAAAATAACTGCGATAAGATACACTCACAAAAAAAAACAATGAAAAAAATAATGAAGACAACACTGGGTGAAGAAAAAATATTTCAAACTGCTGTTTAAGACTTTGATAAAAAATACGAAATTCCTAATGAAACAGTCGAAGTATTAGGACGAACTGAATCTTCTATAACACGATCAAACCATCATACATAATAATACCAAATCCTTACGTGCATACAATGAAGAAATTAAACATTATAATGATGGGAACATAATCAAGATTTATTAAGAAAACTCCGTGTTGTGTTATGGAGTTGGTTTTAATGTTATTAAAATTCCTCTCGACAATTTAAAGAAAAATAACTTTTGCGTCATTGTCCATTCTGAATACAATACAGAGAAAATGTATACGGAAGCTGGTTTGGACAGCTGATTATTTTCGTTTTTTAATGTAAATGTTTGCGACTGCGTATTGAAAATAAAGTATTTTTGTCACACAATGTATCTTTGCTTGTGATTTTTTACTTGTATAATGTGTTACCTCAAGTTTTGAATTAAGGCGGTGGTATAATTTTACACACAAACTAGACACCAGATTTATTCTCGAATATTCATTATTCAAAAGGTGATATCTTTTGAATAATGAATATTCCTGGAGGAGCACCTAATTTATTAATTAACGTCAAATAAATAATAAGTACATAAATCAATTCAGTTCAATATAAGAGATCAGATGTGGGGTTCGTGCTCTTAATATAGTAAAATACGTCATGTCACTATCATTTAGTTTGTCAAATAGATTCTCATCAAATAAAAGCAATAATTCACACAAGATAATATAACGCTATAGCTGCATTTGCTCAGTAAAAACCGCCGCGTAGGAAAACTACATAATTATATATTTACCTACATTTAACATAGTGCAGCGCCGAGGTACTAAGAATATTATTCAAAAAAAAACAACATAATCTCACATTATTATGTACATTTTAATAACTTTGAGAATTGTTTATAAACTTTCCAGACAACTGAACCAAGATATCTAATTTGGGGTATACTCAAATGAATCAACTTCACTTTTTGTACTAATATAACTTTTCGGAGTGATATCATCACTAAAATTATACCTTATGCTAAATTAGCAACTTAAAAAGCAATAAACATTAATGGACCAAATTATGCTAAGCTGAAGAAAGTGAATCTTAATGACTATGAAGTTTAGCTAATAGATCGTGTGGGTATCTTACGAGTAATTTTGGGTGATTATCCGTCTAAAGTATTCAAAGTAAGTCAAGTAACATTTCCACTAAGTTCAAAGAGTGAAAAGAAATAGGTAAGTTTGTTTCTAAACGTACAACTAATATGTATTGTAGCTTTTAAAGGCTTATTAAATGACGGACTAATAATATCAAGTCATGAACCTAAAGGCGACGCAAAAGAAAAGAAAATAATGGATAGGAAGCTATCTGTAACAGCTTTAATTCTAAAATCGATCTTAAAGTGATTTGATTATAAACATAAATTTGGTTGTAAACTAAAGAATAAGAAATGTCAACAAGCTACAACATCGCCAATCCTGGATTATGGGTCTCCTCTAAATAAAGGGTTAACACAATCTGCACGCGTGGCAGGCAGGTTAGATATCGCTAGACAGGCGGCTGGGAAGAGGGAAGAGGGTTCCTCCCGCTGAATCAAAAACAGTCTTTGCAATCCATAGTCGACTTTTACAACACACGGAAAACTTAGACTTTAATACAGAAGCATTCTACTTTGCAGTCTTTTAATTTATTTTTAATTTTCATAATAGTAGGTACTTACCACCAGTTCCGCAAACTTGGCGTCGAGTTCATCTTCTGGTGGCATTGGATGTGTGGGGGTGACTGCCTGTAAAGCCAGTCCGCCTTCGCCCCCAACCACACAGTATGTGATCTCTGGAGGCTCGTCATTCTGGAATAAAAAAGAAAAATCCATGAATATGATAATTCAAAAATACTGAAAATATAAAGCAGACAAATATGGCAGATATTACGTTCTTTGTTTAGCAAGGAGTAAGTAAGCCTTTTAATTTAAAAAGACTTCAAATCAAAAATTAAATAAGTGAATAAGTTCGTAGTTAAAAATAAACAGTTCTGTCAATTAAAGTATCCAAGAAACGACAGCGTTAAATTGAAACATTTTCAAACGAGAGACAAAATATAAACCTAAGAAAACGAAAAAATCAAAACAGCAAAACGTAGAAAACTGCAATTGTTTTACAAGTAGAACGAAATATTCTCTCGTTCTTTAATTTTTGTTAAATAAAATCTAAAAGAAGTTTAGAACAGCTCTTATTACAGTTCAATGGACTGACATTGGATGTATTGTAGACGATGGCAAAAGTATTATTACGGATTAAACGAATTAAGTTTTCCGAGCTAAAGCAGCTACAAAAACACAACATTTATAACTTTTAGATAAGGATAGATGACAAATCTAATTACACGTACCTAATGACGTTACCTTTATTTACAAAAGACTTGGTCCTATCATAAAGTATTACAAACTGGACACGAAAATATGAATATTTTGATAATGTAGGCCAGAAGATAGCATCGATCAAAAATTCCGACGTATAAACCTTTTACGAAAATCCTTGGAGCAAAGATTTATTAGCAATCAAAGTGTCTCTTACTTATAATAAATTATAGTTGCAAGAACGTAATAACTGAAGATAAAGGCCTATTAACGTAAACGGTGAACTATGGCTAGCACAATTTGAAAGGAATGGCTAAAACCACTTCAAAGAAATAGATATTATGAAAGAGAAAACACAGCCATGTTAAGTTGACTTCAAACAAATTCAATACATCAACGACAACAAATATAAAACAAGACGTGAATACGACACCAAATTAAAACAACACAACTTATCAATCATCAGCCGACAACCGAAAATAAAAACAAGAACACGACACTCAATCCAAAACACATTTCGGGCACGTGTCCACAAAAAAATGAAACATGGAAAGGAACTTTCTACATACAATAACTCATTTCCATTTCAACATCTTCCCAATTTAAGGAAGCCATAAATAAAATTACTGCAATCAATACCTAATTACACGAGAAATATTCCGCTCGCAATGAGAAAATTTTCTCAGTAAGACATAAATCAACGTGAGGACATAATCTGTTTGCGAATACTTCTTGAGAAACGAAAAAAACTCAATTTAAATCGTAGAGGTTAAAAATAAAATGAGGAAGACATTGGTTCCTTCCTTTAAAGGGAGAGTCGACAAATGTGGCGAATGAGGAAGTGTGCACGAACAGACAAGAAAAACTTCACGTACCGCAGTATAATCGCCTGAACGCAAAGCTATTACAATAATAGGAATGTAATTACTACTAAACACATGATTCGACGATTTGCGCCATTTAGGAGCGTCTTTTTCTTTCTTTATCGCTCGAAACGGTTATTACTGTAATTATTTAAATGCCTTTCTAATAATACCGCTGGATAGTTCGAAAAAGGATCCTAAATTGAAATAGCACTAAGATAACCATATTACATTTATAAACCGTCCCTCTTTCGTGATTCTTATTACCATCAAAATCAATTGTTTTCTTATTCAACATATATTTTAATTTTCATAGCTTTTGACTAACTAATTATAGAATGTGTAAAAGTTCTATTCTTCAATGGTATACATCACAAGTATAATTACATGTTTAACCGATTATTAAATCATACACCTGCTTTGCTCAAATTGTTTAAACGCCTGATCTATTGCAGCCATTATTAATAAAGCTTACAATTTGCTCACGTCTCTGTGACAACATACAACCAGATAACACCATGTACATACGTCCACACATGAGCGTGCTAAAAACGCTTCTGACTCAGAATGACCTTTTGCCGGCGCTTGCGCATTTCTACGAAGTGTCGCCCGATGTCTCGCGAATCCATTGACATAATGAATAGGGCTGTGCGGAGAAAGTATTATAAATTAACTGTTAATTTCTGAAAATTATTTAAAATGTTTCTTGTAGTCATCAATTACATTGCGATTTGTAGCGTGGGCTTTTTAAAATGATCCATCTGTGTGAATTGTTTCGAAAACAAAGTTGGGTCTTTCTTTAAGCTGTTATGAGTATTGATTTAATCTTTCATTCCGTCGCGTCGTTGGGTGCCATGAAAGATCAATATACTCACCTTTATAGAAAATCAAAAAATATAGGTAGATAAATTAGACCACGAATGCACCTAAAAAATAGAATCAAACAACTACATGTTTATAGTTAAACTGACAAAATAGGCCGCGACTATATGACACACCCTCAACCAAAATTTTAATAAAAAATAAGTAACTGTGCAAATAAGATAAGTCCTCGCCATATTTTCTGGTTAAAGTAGCCTACAATTTGCTAAGCTTAACGAAGGGGAACGAATCGCGTTGGTGTCAGACTTCGCACCCTCGCCCTGGTTATAGTAGACATCGTCGTTAACCGTCGCCATCTTAAAACTGTTATTGGGAACGTGACTCTAGACTACACGGGTCGTGTCTGACGAGACAAATTTACGGCACCATCTTAACGTTTTACAACAAGACGAAACAGGTGTTGAACTCAAATTTTCCGCATGTTTGGATTATTTCTTTGATGTTATTTATCGAAGATAATTTTATTTGGATATTATACTAAGTAGTAAGATAGAACCCAAAGATTTTACTATTCATTTCCTGTCCTGTCTTGTTTTAATGTTATCAATCACATGTGAATACGGATGTTTAAAAAAATAATCATTTTCACAAATAATGTTTGATTCAGATTTTATCAAAAATGTAACTTTGGTAATATAACATCCTATTCAATATAAGTACAAAAACGGCACTGGAAAAAAGGTGAGAACAAATCTAGATAATAATATGTATCAAGTACATTAGGAACACTAATTAAGATGTTTCAATGCAAATTCAATTCTAATACAACACAGAGAGCAAACTACTTTTACAGTAGTACACCAATTAATTATGTATTCCCTAAGTACTATTTGCTTAATTAACATTATTAGTAGAAAGTACTGACAGCACATGAGAATGTAAATCCAATTAACGTTGATCTCCCATTGGTAACAAAATGTATTAAAGACAAGGTGAAGTTTACAGTGGGAGGATAGTTTATCGTACAGTTGAGACAGACTTGACACAAACAGATGAAAAGGTAAATAGCATTTAGATATCAGACAATGAGGTCACGACCATTGTAGCAAAATATTTGTTGAACGAAGAACAATGGAAAAGAACGATCAAGAGCTAATTACTAAATATTTGATTAGGAATTATGAGCCTTAAGCACATCCTGTTATTTTCTAAGACGGAATAAAATATTATTAAGTAAATGCATATTCAGTTTGATTAAAATCTAATGAATTAATAATTAAAACTGCATTACCTTGTTAACATTTGAAAATCTAGTCATTTGCATTTTATTAATGTGTTAATTGAGTTTGGGATTAACGTTATTATAAGCTCTTTCGGCGTATTAATTAAGATGCATCTAACTCCTATTAACTATAAATTTTAATAATTTTATGAGGACGCATGGATGTTTGTTACTACTAAACCAAAAACAGCTGGATGGACTTTGATTAAATTAAGACTTTAATTATAGACCATGACTTGGATTTACATTTGTTATATTATGTAAAGTATCAAATTATACTTTGAATGTACAACAGAATGTATGTCAACGATGAAAAAGGATGCAATAGCACTAATCTTACTCTCTACTAATTTAAGAAGTAATTATTACTATCTTATCTGAACTTTCTAATTAATTTCCGACCTCTTTAAGAGTATTTTCTCTTAAATTTTACTTAGCGACTGGGTAAAAACGTATTGCTACATTGTAAAGATATGTTTATATCAGTGAGATCTGAAATTCCCATAAACAAGCTAAGAGAAGGACTTGAAACGATGACGTCAACCAACCAAATAGTGACTCATGCAAATGTCAAAAGGCGACGGCCATATTTCTTTATAACACCCGCCATCTTAAAAAACAGACGCGATAACCCTACAACCCTTCACAATGAACAAGAAGTAAAATCTATTTCTGTCGATGATTTCATCCACTCAACTGCAAACTTATTTGCAGGGCCAACATTATTAGCAACATTAATTTTGCAAGAGTTAAGATGTTTGCAATGAAGACGTTTATTTGTTTTACGTGAAAGATTTCGCTAGTGACTATCTCGCGCCATATCTGGGATGAGATTTAGAAATAGTAATTTATTTGTTATTATTATTATGCCAAAACGGTTTTGTAACCAATGAAATAAGAAAAAGTTAAAAAATCACTTTATAAAATATAGTTATTTCTTTCAGAACCCCCTCAAAAGGTTAGAACTGCACCCTTTTTATACACCCGTTTGACGCAGAATAGCTGAGAAATTACTTGGCCCGATAGTGACTGATTATTGATCCACAGATTATTGTAGTTCGGGGTCTGAGTGTATGTATATGTTAATCTTTATGTTTATAGACGCCCACCATTAGTATAGGAGAAAAGTCTTAGTGCGAAGGTACCTATATATATATTTGAATGGACTAGGAGTTCTTCTATTTGGTAATCACGAGATAGAAGAGACCCATGACAATTTATAGACAAATCACTCGACTAGCTTCAAGCAACATTAGGATATTCGCAAGCATCGCGTAGCTTACGTAGCTATGTCGCTAGGCTAGTTACCTTGTGATACTATTTATTAGTAAGATCTTAAATATAATTAGTCAAAAGAGACAATATTGACATCGATGCGCCAGTAAAAATTGAATCTATTCTAGGTCTGCATTTTTTCGACAATCCTCCAAAATTCCTTTGCATTCGGATACAATTATTGAAGAAAGCAAAACTAAACGTCAAGTAACAATCTTGCGACTAATGACAGAAAAACATGAGTACAGAAA